TGAAAAGAGTTAAGGAGGCTAGGTCTTCTTGGTAAGAGGAGGGAGATGTCTTTAAGGAGAGAGTTCTTTATACATGTAAAAGTATTTCACAAAAGCACAACAGGGGCCTCCCTGGTGGCACAGTTGAGTGCCTCACTGTGAAGCTGTCTGCAGCCTCTGCAGGGCGGGTTTGATTCTTCCGGCTGGCGAGAATCCCACATGGCGAAGCAGACCTCTCCTGTCTCGCCCGCTACTCCCCTCAGCAGTGTATTTCGTCAGTCTGCCTGTTCTGTTCCCCGCTCTGTCTCTGGTGAATCCTCTCACCCTCCCGCCCATCTGGCCTATACCCCGGTTCTTGTATAAATAAATAAATCTTAAAAAAAAAAAGCACCATCACCTAGCCTTCAGAGCCCCTCCCTTAAAATAAACCTTTTGCCACTTCTAGACATTTTTTGAGGTAGCAGATTTTGCTTCCTTACAATATATACTGGTATGTATGCTGTCATCCTTTATAGAATTAGAATTAAAAAGATGTGTCGATATATTTTATATAAAATTTTATCATTTAAAATAAGATTTTTATCATGCTTTGCTTAACAGTCATGCTTTGCTTAACAACAGTGAAATCCTGAGAAATGCATTATGGGATTTCATCATTGCACATAGAGTGTACTTACACAAACTTAGATTGCATAATCTACATACCTTTGGTTTATATGCAGTCTGTCATTGATTGAAACATTAAGCAACACAAGACTGTATTAAAAATTTTTAGTAAGACTTCTATAATTATAAAACTGAGTAAATCTTACCTATGAGGGTTGAATTACCTCTATTTTTCTCTATTGTTTGACACATTTAATTTAGTTTTTAATTTAATAAAATATTAAATCCTTAATATTTAGAAGTATTTAATAATTAAAAATATAACATATATATTGCATGATATATAGTACATATATTTGTGTGTGTAGATATGATTGGTGCTTTATAAATACTGTTTTTTAAAATCAATTTTAGTGATAAAATGATAAAATTCATGTTGATTCTTTTACTTTTAATAACAAAAATTTGGTGTTCCTTTTCTAAGGATCTGAACACTACACTGGCCTGTAGTCCTGTGCTTTGGTAATATTGATATATAGAAATCTCCATCTGACCCTCTTTCCTTACTTACTTCATAGCCAGGACCCCCAAATTTAAACACTCTATAAATAGGTTCCACCATCTGCTGCATAAAGAGAGAATATATGTTTAGTGTGTAAGACTGCCAATAGAAAAGAACGTTAACAGAATTAGTGTGCAATAAAGAGAAGAGAAAGAATATAATTTCCAAATGAAGTGTGTAAGTTACCCATCCCTTTGTGGATAAATGCCCAGCTAAACAGGGTTGGCCCAAACTGGGGCCACTGAGGCCCAAACGCTTGTCATAAGTCTAAGGGACCTACTAGCAGGGGACCATGGTTCCCTGAAGGGGACAGCCTCTCCATGGGTCTCTCACCCATATTTTTTTCAGGTGTCTCCTCCCATGTCCCCCAAGTCTTTGGTACTAGTCCAAGGCCGAGAAGCAAGCATGGTTTCTTCTTTGCATGGTTGTATGTTTCTCATGCCCTCTTCAAAGTCTTCTCCTTCAGAGTCTTCTCCAGTCCTTTCTAGCTGCCCACCCTTTCATCCTTTCAGTGCCATACTTCCTCAGGTGGAGTAGGGAACCTGGAACCTCCCCTTTCTGTGGAGATAAACTGTTACAATAGTGTCCCCTATCACATTAACAAAATGCATGTATATCTGCCATGGAAAAGTGGTTTTGTTTGTTTGCTTATTTACTATTTTTTAAAAAATCTAATTTTTTTAACTAGATAATGGTACACATGATACAGTATTTCAAAGATTAAAAAAAAGCTTTACAGTGAAAAATCTCTCTTCTGAGGGGTAATCAGTTACTACTACTTTCTTGTGATTCTATAGAGATTCTGCATTTATAAGTACACACACAAAAACACATTTTACACATTATAGCATGTTAAACATACTGTACTTCCCCATATTAACTTTAATATTACATTAAAAAGCATGGTGCTAATGGTCTTCTAATGTAGAAAACGAAGTGTGGTTTGTTTTTTTTTTTTTTTGCTTGTTTGTATTTTTATTTATTTATTTATTTATTTTTAAAGATTATTTATGCATACAAGAACTGGGGTGTAGGCTAGAGGTGGGGTGGTGGTGGTGAAGGGATTCACCAGAGACAGAGTGGGGAGCAGAACAGGCAGATGTACTGAAATAAACTGCTAAGGGGAGCAGCAGGAGAGACAGGAGAGGTCTGCTGCACCATGCGGAACTCATGCTGCAGTGGCTGGTGATAGCTTGATAACACTGAGACTTTAACCCCTGCACCACCAGGGAGGCCTTATTTGTGTTTTTATATGCCAGCTTAGTAGGCTGTAAGTTAAACCATTTACTTTATAGTAGAAGACAACTTTCCCATCCCCTCTTGTTTTTAATTCAGCAATACAGCTTGGATATATTTCCATATTAATACCTGACGAAGCATTTCCTCCTATTTAAAGTCTGTGTAAATGAATCCTAATTGATTTATCAGTATTTTGTTGATAGCATGTAAATATAATTTATTTAACTTTATTTTAGATGCTTAGTGTTGTCTTGATGCTGGGGATAGGCTGATGACAAAAACACAAAGACTATACTTATTTTCTCATGGAGATTAAATTCCAAGATAGACATTAAAAAAAGACCTACTCAGCGAAATAAGCCAGAAAGAAAAAGAAAAATACCGGATGGTCTCACTCATATCAGGAATTTAGAAAACCTGAATAAGGGACCAGGAAAAAGACTAATTATAATAAAGTAAAAATCAAAATCACAAAATCAACAAGCAACTATAAACCAGAGACACACTATGGGGGGGGTGGAGAGGAGGGATTAGGGTCAAAATAAGGGGGGTGGAAATTGTATGGGGAATATAACCAAGATGAAAATGCATATATTATGCAAAAATGAAAAATGATGTAAAAATATTAAAAAAAAAGACCTACTCAAATAAATGTAGACTTGTACTTGTGATAAATCAGAGAATCTCACAGAAGGAATTGATATAGTCAGGGATGTGAAGCTTTTCTAAAGAAGTGATAATTGAACTGACATCTAAACAAAGAATAATTAATTTTACATATTTTAATGTTAGCAGGCAGACTGAGGTGTGCCCCGGGACCCCTACATTTTGCGTGCTCTAGAGAGGTTCTGCCATCTGCCGTGCAAAGACAAAGCATATTCTTAGTGTGTAAGAACTTTAATATTAATGTGCATAGAGAGGGAAGAAGAGAAAGCATATAGTTTTCCAATGAAGCACCCAAAGTTGCCCATACCCCGTGGGTAAATGCCCGGCCAAACAGAGTTGGTGCAAAGTCGGGCCACTTAGACCTGAAAACTTGCCCACAAGTCTAAGATACTTTCTGACAGAAAGGAGCAGAAGGGACCAGGCATGTCTGGGATGAAAGGAGCAAAATCATAATAAAGCAGGATAAAGGCTGCCATTTTTTCAGCCTCCCCATGTGTCTCTACCCATCTAATTCACCTAAGTCTCCCAAATCCCTGGTGCAAGTTCAAGGCTGAGAAGCTAGTGTGCTTCATGGGTCTCCTATCCTGTGTGTTCTTCTAAATGTTCTTATTCAAGTCTTCTAAATCTTTTCCTGGTCACTCCACTCTTTATTAGGTGGGGCAGGGAATATGGAGCCTCCCTTTTTCTCTATAACACTAAGTTTGTTCTATAATTTCTATTCACCCATTTGTTCTATATCTGTAAGCATTCTTTCATAGTGCCTTTATCTCCAAGCCCAGTGAGCACATCTTATAGTCTACATTTTGCTTGAATATTTTGCCGACACAATTGATAACTCTGTCCTTGAAATGCTCTCTTATTTTTATTTTTACTTTTCTGTTTTTCTTCTTTTCTCAATATTCTTTGTTTGCTTTTTCTTCCCTAAATATTAAATTCTGGTGTTCCTTAGGGCTTATTACTGGGCTTTTTTTCTCTTACCATCTACAACTTTCAAGGCAATCTTCAGATAATATGTGTAGATGATTTCCAGATCTATACCTGACTTCTCAACTTCCATCATTGTGTCCATCTGCCTCCCATATTTTTCCACTTTATTTGTCATTTGTTAGTTTAAATTAATATATGTAGGGCCTGTAATTTGCCAGGCATTGTGCTGGGACTGAGAGTGTCTTAAAGATATCTCTAATAGAATATACTCAAAACAAAATTCTTTGTTCCTACAACCTGCCAGAACAAACATGCAAGTAAGTAAGCAAACAAAAGTAGTCCAGAGGAGACTTTTTTCTGCCTTTATTGTTTTCACTCAACTGTTGAAATCCATCCAGTTCTATCCTGAAACCTTGGAATCAGTCTTAACTCCTTATATTTGAGTATTTTTTCTGCCCTCACCCAATCCTATCCAATTCAGTCCAATCCAGTCAACATAATCTAATCCAGTGAAAAGTTATCAAGGTCTGGACATACCCTCTTTATTTAAGGATACACTCCAACCACACCCCTCCAGTGCATATACTTCCCCCAACCTCTTTTTCACTGCTAAGACCCTACCCTAAGTTACCACCACCCCTTGAGTAGACTGGTGCAGTGTGTTCTGAATCTGGCATTTTGCCACATGGCTAAAAGCATGATCTTTTAAAGTGTTTCTCAATTCCTTAGTGTTTCAGCTTTCTTATCTATAAACTTTGGGTTGTGTGAGGATAAAAAAAATTACTATATATAAAATACTCAGAATAATGTCAGGCACTAAGTCTTCAGTAAATTGTTATTGAAACTTTATATTAAGCCAAGTAAAAGTTGTGTTTAATACAGAAAGATGTCTATTAATAATAGATTTGAATGGAGTCACTATTAGCTTCCTTATACTTAATTGTGCTATATATGTTCACATAAAATGTCTGCAGTGCTTATAATGTGACCTTATTATGTGTAATTTTTTCTCAATTAAAAGGCTAAGAAGCACCAGGCCTTTCTAGTAGAGACATGTGAAAATAACGTAAAAGAATTGGAATCGATCTTGGACAGCTTTACTGTGTCGGGCCAGTGGACATCAGGTTAGTTGAAGGTATAAAATGACAGATGCATCTGTCAATGTTCCAAAGTCACTACATTTTGGGAATTCTGCAGATGCCTCTTCTAGTCCCTCATCTCAACATGTTTTGATTTGATGACATGATAAGAGCAGTTCTCACAGCAGTCAGTTGGCCTAGCTGGCTGAGAAAGGGTGACGGAACGTGAACCTGCTGTTGTCCTCCCAGAACTTGATTTACAAGTGTTGGGGTCTGTATGATTGGACAGACAAGGGCTCACTTGCTGTGTTCTGAATCCAACTGAGAAAAAAGTCCTTACAGTATACCTGCAAGGGGAACAGATGTTTCCATCAAACTGAGCCAAATTCCGAGGCAACCTTCAGCAACTTAAAGGTCATGCATTCAAAAGGTTATGTAGGACACAGGCTGTAGCATAGTGCATATTCCACACTGTTGCTTTCTAAGCTGGCTTTCTCCTTTATTTCCTACGATCGTGTATATTCTCCAGAATGTTTTTAACATTAGTATTAGTCCACTTAATATGATAAAGATCTTTAAAACCTGTATTTTAGGTAGGCATATGTTGGGAACTCACATAAGCATTAATTGGCCAATAAATGCTGCCCGTGATTTCTACTTTCTCTTTTGTGATTATGCCATTGTGCTTGCTATAGCAGCTTTGACTTAAATACTTTTACTTTTCTACCTCAGTTTTCTGTGACTACTGTCGGCCTTAAATTATTTAGTTGTTTTCTGATTCAATTGTGTATTTCAAAAGGGATGTAAAATTTATTTTCTTACACTTTAAAGTTGAACTGCAAAACTCTTTTTTTTTTTTTTAAGGAATCAAACATGTATTTGGCAAATGAGTTACTTAGAAGAATTAAGTTCAGAAAATTCTCTTGTCCTCCAAAAATCATAAGGATATAAAAAAGGTTCATTTTCACCTTGTGGATCTGCAATTTTTTTAGTGAACTTTTAGAAATTTTTCTTTGTTATTGTCCATTTTTCTGGGTCTGCTTTTACCCATCATCTATTTTAGCAGTAACTTTATGAAATTAATGTTTAATTTGATTTCCTAACTAGTGCTCACTGTCACAGCTTGCATCTTGTTTCCTAGTGCTTCTACCAGCTCCTCTTTTACTAACTAGTCTCTCTGCTTCCACCTTGCTCCCCTTCCCCTTCAGTCTGTTTTGTTATAACCACTGGAAGGAACATTTGAAAATCTGAGTTAGAACATGTTCTTCCTTTGTTCTAAACCATGCTGGTGTCGCATTGTACTAAGTGTAGAAGCCAAAGTGCTGCCATTAACTTGTGAGACCAACGTGGTCTGTCCTTTCACCTTAGCTCCTGTGTTTCCCCCCTCCCTTCCTCTGTCTGCACGGTTCTGATCTCCTGCTGTTTCCTGAGCACACCAAACATGCTTTTGTCTTAGGGGTCCTGTGTGCTGGCCATTCTTTCTACCTTGGAAAGTTTTTTTTTTTGCCTAGGTATACCCACATGGCTCCTTTATAAATATTTCATACATCTGTGCTTAAACTTTACCTTCTTCTTGAAGGTTACCCACTGCTCATTCCTATGCCACCTGCCTTTCTCCCATTTCTGCTCTCCTCTCCCCCCACCCCCAGAGCACTTACTATTGTCCAAAATTTCTAGCATACTGTATAGTACATTTATTATTATATCTGCATTAGTTAGGGCTCACTACAAAAACAGATCCAATAGGGTATTTATATGAGGAGATTTATTACAGAATTTGTGCTGTTGTAGACACTGAGAAATCATATGATTTGTCCTCTGCATGCTGAAGAACCAGGGAAGTTCATTCAGTCTGAGCGCAAAGACCTGAGAACCTGGTTGCTGTTGTAAATGCTGGCGTCCAAAGATCCAGTAACCAGGAGCTCAGAGTCTCAGGGCAGAAGACAGACATCCCAGCTCAAGGAAAAAGAGAGAATTTGTCCTTTTTCCACCTTTTGTTATATTGGGCAGGTGGCAGGGTGATAAGGGGTGGGGTCAGGAGTGGGGTAGGCAATGGATTTAATAAAATTTGCCTGCATTGGTGAGGGTGTATTTTTGCTTATTCTGCTGCTGCAAATCCTAATCTCTTCAAGATACACCCTGACAGACACACCCAAATAGCTTTAAAAATTATATATATATTTATATAATGTATGTTGAGATAAAATTGGTTTATAGCACTGTATGTGTTTTAGTCATATAGGCTCAAATCTCTACAAATGTTTATTGACCACACCATGTCTACCACCAAAGCCCCAGTAATTCTCTACCATAGTCCATTAGCTCCCCTCTCCCTTTTGCTTTCACCCCTGCTCTCCCTTCTGGTAGCCTCTGTTCTGCAGTCAACAACAATAATGTTTTTACCAGCTATTTGGACTTTGCCTAGACCAGTCAGGTTGGCACATAAAACTTACCATTGTAGTATCCATGCTCCCTGAGGGAAAGAATATTTGTCTCTTATTTACTAATGTATATTAAACAGCTAAAAGATACTTGGCACAGAGTAGGTACTCAATATTAATATTTGTTAATATGAATGAATAAAAGGATGAATGAATATCAGGGTGGAGGTCTATTTTTCAGTTGTTTTTGAGATTATTAATTGAGTTATGGAGTCTCTTTCCAAATTATAGCAGCCCTTTGTGTAGCATCCATAGGCATCACCCGTAAGATTGACCCTCAGTAGAAAAATGTATAATTTTACATGACATGGAAATATCACCTTCATTTTCCACTTCACTAGACAAGATAGCTTCAGTTTTCTTGAACAGGGAGATTTATTTCCCTATTTCTGCTTTCCACTGAAATTGAAGCATTGCAGCTGCTTATATCTCATTTATTTTCTGGTGGAAATTTCTATAGTAGGATGTTTATGGGAAAAAATACTTGCCCCCTTTGAGCCCATGTCATGCTTTTGCCTAGAGTTTCTTCAAATACAGTTTCACCTCTGCCTGAGGATGTTAACACATATGTGATGTGACTTTTCCTTCATAAAAGGAAATTTTTCTTGTGGCTCAGTTTTGGATCCTCCTCAGGGTAGATGTAGACTGAGATAGAGTCTTCCAACCTTCTTCAGCCGTTCTTTCCTGGAGGAAATAATTTCTAACATTTCAGAGGTACTTTTTTTTCCTTTGTACCAGAGAGGCTGAAGGACCTTAGAAAATAATAGAAATAGTGTTTGAGATCTGTGGCATACATATATCACCTAGGAATTAAGCTGTTTCAGGAACTGCTCGTAGGAAAATTAGGACAAGAAATTGGACTTTTCCTTTCCTCTTTCCTCCTTTACTTTTTAAATAAAGGATTATCACTGAAATCTAGTATATTATTGAGAATTTTAATTGTGCTATGAACTTCGTGGCTAATACCTTTTAACTAGAGATTCCTGGGTTACTGAGAAGCTGAGGATACCTATACAGTAGCCCACAGGCCTCTCTTGGTGACATTTGCCAATTTTTTCTCTCTTCTCTTAGCCCCTAATTCACTGAGGTTTGCAAACCAAACTTGCCCTACTTCATCATGCTCATAGTTTCAGTGTGAAATCTGAGGGAATGACTTCAGTATGAGTGCTCAACATTCTTTAATGGGGTCACTAATCATACAACTATGGAGGCTGAGGAATCCAAGATCTGCTGTTGGTAGGCAGCAGACCTAGAAAAGTCTATGATATAGTTCCAGTACAACTCTGAAGGCCTAAAGCTTATCATGTGTTTCAATTTGAGTCTGAGTTTAATGACAGAAGATAGTGTCTTATCTCAAAGAGAGAAACAGTTCTTACTAAAGCCTTTGTTCTATTCAGGCCTTCAGTGGATTGAATGGGGCCCATCCACATTGGGGAGAGCAAGCTTATACTCCGTGTAGTGATTCAAATGTCAGTCTCATTCAGAAGCATCTTTATAGGCACACCCAGAAACAACATTTAACTAAATATCTTAGTCTGTTTTCCCGTCAAGTTTACAAATAAAATGAGTCATCATATCCCCTTGTCTCTCTCTTCCCGGTTTCTGGTAAGCACCATTCTACTTTCTGTCTCCATGAATTTGACTACTTTACATGTGTCATATTGTAGAATAGTATTTTTTTTAATTTTTAAAAAAGATTTATTTATTTATTTATGCTGCCAGGGGTGAGAGGATTCACCAGAGACAGAGTGGGGAACAACACAGGCAGATTGACCGAAGTACACTACTGAGGGGAGCAGCGGGCAAGTCAGGAGAGGTGTGCTGCACCATGTGTGTTCCTCCCCAGCCGACTGGGGATCGAACTTGTGCTGAAGAGGCTGAGGAATACTTCATAGTGCAGTGCTTACCCCCTTACACCACCAGGGAGGCCCAGTATTTGTTTTTTTTGTTATTGGTTTATTTCACTTATAGTACCATACTCACAGTTCATCCATATTATAGCATGTGACAGTAAATGCCTTTTTAAGGCTAAATAATAATCTACGGAATATATATATATATATATATCACATTTTGTTTATCCATGTATCTATTGATGACCCTTTGGTTTACTTACACATGAGACTACCTTCAGTTCTTTTGCATATATACAGAATTGGGATTGCTGTCCATTGACTTTAATCAAGAGCATGAGTGTAGTAACAGTTGCCTAGTAAGATATTCTACATTTTAGAAATAGTCTTTCTTATTACTGAGTTTCCCTTAACAATCAAGATCAATTGTCCTGGTAGAGAAGAACCTTTTTTTGTTTTTATTTTTCTGGCATCAGGAGCTCAGAAATGACCAAGTGCCATTCTCAGCTTCCATTCTAATGGAAACATTGCTGTGTCCCATGGGGAAAGCATTTCTCCCTTGGATATTATGGTTTAGTCCAATAAACCCACAGTTTTGGAGGCAACTGTGCAGACATTTCACTCGTGGATCACTAGGTATAATAGTGAGAAGAGTCACTCTTGTTTCCAACATTTATTCCAGGGCCTGTGAACCTTTGTTATGGGAGAAATGCTTTATACACTGATTACTGACCTCGAGCACCTCCTTGTC